TCTACAGAGAACAGGGATGAAATGGCTAATTTTTTGCACTTAGAGACTCTACTTAGAACCTTCTTAAGATCCAACAGAACGAAATGTGAATTCTTGTTATTTCCAACGGTTTTGATCAGGAGTGAACTTGTTTCTTGCTTTATTTATGTTCAGCAGCAGCAGTTAGTTTGTCTACACAACGTTTATTGTGTAATCACTCTCACAGCCAGCAGAGGGAAACAAAACTTCACAATAAAACTGGATTTCAGGATGTTCTCTGGTGGAACAATTTTACAGTTTTTCTAATTGGTTTTGGTGAGTTTCTCAGAACAGTTCATACAAAAAGCAAAACTCCATAGATTACCTGAAAAAGCCAGTTTTTTTTCTTCAGCTCTAGAGATGTGGAATGTCACCTCTCTGGTGGGGGAGGAGCCTGAGCTGGTGTGTGAGGTTGAGAGGTTCAGACTAGATATAGTTGGACTCACCTCGACACACCACTCTGGTTCTGGAACCAGTCTCCTCCAGAGGGGTTGGACACTCTTCCACTCTGGAGTTGCCCATGCTGAGAGGCACCGAGCAGGAGTGGGCAAACTTATTGCCCCCCATCTTGGTGCCTGTATGTTGGGATTCACCCCGGTTAACGGGAGGGTAGCCTCCCTCCACCTATGGGTGGGGGGTACGGGTCCTGACTGATATGTGTGCCTATGAGCCTAACAGCAGCTCAGATTACCCACCCTTTCTGGAGTCCTTGGAGGGGGTGCTGGAGAGCGCTCCTAGTGGGGACTCCCTTGTTCTGCTGGGGGACTTCAACGCTCAAGTGGGTAATGACAGTGGGACCTGGAGAGGCGTGGTTGGGAGGAAGGCCCCCCCCCCCGATCTGAACCTGAGCAGTGTTTTGTTATTGGACTTCTGTGCTCTTCATGGATTGTCCATAACGAACACCATGTTCAAACATAAGGGTGTCCATATGTGCACTTGGTACCAGGACACCTTAGGCTGCAGTTCAATGATCGACTGTTGTCGTTTCATCTGATCTGCAGCTGCATGTTTTGGACACTCGGGTGAAGAGAGGGGTGGAGCTGTCAACTGACCACTACCTGGTGGTGAGTTGGCTCCGTTGGTGGGGGAGGATGCTGGTCAGACCTGGCAGACCCAAACGTGTAGTGAGGGTCTGCTGGGAACATCTGTCAGAGTCTCCCATCAGGCGGAGCTTCAACTCACTCCTCTGGGGGAACTTTGAACAGGTTCCGGGGGAGGTGGGGGACATTGAGTCTGAGTGGTCCATGTTCCGTACCTCCATTGTCGAGGCGGCTTACCTGAGCTGTGGTTGTAAGGTTGTTGGTGCCTGTTGAGGCAGAAACCCACGAACCTGCTGGTGGACCCTGACGGTGAGGGATGCTGTCAGGCTGAAGAAGGAGGCCTATCGGGCCTTTTTGGCCTGTGGGACTCTGGAAGCAGCCGATAGGTATCGGCAGTCCATGCGGATTACAGCTTGGGTGGTCGCTGAGCAACAACTCTGATGTGGGAGGAGGAGTTTGGAGAGRCCACGGAAAAAGAATTCCATACAGGGTCTCGCAGGGGTTTGTTCGCCACCAACATTGTTTATGGTGGGGATGGTGCTCTGCTGACCTCTGGACGTTGTGGGTCGGTGGGCAGAATACTTCAAAGACCTCCTCAATCCCACGACACGTCTTCTCATGAGGAAGCAGAGCCTGAGGACCCTGGGTCGGACTCTCCAGTCTCTGGTTCTGAGGTCACTGAGGTGGATTGGCAGACCGGGGTGGTGGTCTCCCTGTTAAAAAAGGGGGACCGCAGAGTGTGTTCCAACTGTAGGGGATCACACTTCTGAGCCTCCCTGGTAAGGTCTATTCAGGGGTCCTGGAGAGGAGGGTCTGTCAGGTAGTCAAATCTTGGATTCAGGAAGAGCTGTGTGGTTTTGGTCCTGGTCAGATGGATGGACTGACTAACAGGTATGGGACAAAAAAGGTACAGCACAAAATGACTCCAGGATCTTTTATGGGTCCGTCAGTCTGTTTTCTTCCTCTTATCCAGGGTCAGGTCTCGGGGGCAGCAGCCTCAGCAGAGACC